TTGGTTCTTCCCCTCAAATAACTTGGGTCTATCTATCAATCATAACATCAGAACCAAAGTCTCCTAGATCTCAGTATACTTATAGATAAAAGTTATGGAAGTTAGCCATAAGCTTTAAAAAAAAAAAAAACAACTAGGTAAAGGGCCACAGCAAGTGATCAGATTTCCACCACTCATCTTGGTGAGATGGGCCCGAGGGACCCATCCCTGCTGACACCAACCATTCTTACAGGTAGTCCACCAACACACAAGCTGTCCATGGTAGAACACCACAGACTGCAGGGCATTTGGAGGCTACTGAACCCTGAGTTCCTAGAACAGGAACCAAGGCTTGAAGAAGGTCAGTGCAGCGTACTCAGCGAATGGATAAACTCAATCATCATTTCACAAGGCTGTGAAGCCCATGAACTAGTCAAATCCCAACATGGAACCAGAAAGATTAAGTTACATTATTGGCTTAAGTAACATTCATTATGAGAAATCTATCTAATTACTAGATACCTGGATTATTTTTAAATGAACTCACAAAATAAAAGGGTTACACTATATGATCTACGGATCTCCTAGCACAGAAATTCTACTGGGAATCAACACAGCGGTGCTATGAAGGAAGCAGCTGAATAAATAAAAAAAATTATTTTCTTCCATTCAACCCTACTATCCAATTCTATCAAGGGACCCTCCCCAAAATTCCTTAGTATATCAAGTCCACAGCCATCTGCTACAACCTGACATGTTACACACTACACATGCCAATGCCAGTATTTAAGAACATCCATTGCCTGACCTTTATGATCAAACCAAGATGAATGGAAATAGGTTTAATACACAAATTTACCTTCACCACCACCAAAGATTACTCAGCAACACAAGAGAGCTATCTGAACTTAAGCTTATATAAGTTTGAGGCACATATGGCAGCACAGGAAGACTGACTGCTTCCTGACAAGATTCCCTCTGCTTTGAGTCAAAGGTACCACACATTTCCCAAGTCATTTACAGTAGATGTAAATATTCCAATACCTCATCTTATCACTCACCAGAGGCTTTGTACTGCTCTTCAAGAAATACAAAGAGAAAGCCCAAGAAGTTGGCTTCTGCATTTGTACTCACCATTAACAGTGACTAGAATGAAGTTAGAGGCCTGCCCCTCAAAAACAAGTAAACTATACTCTTGGAGCAGAAAATGCATACCACAAGCAGCTATTCTAAGAAAATTACACTTTTTCTCTCCAGACCACATAGAAGTGCCTGAAAAAGTTACAACAAATTTGTAAAAGGGAAGGAAGGAGGGGGAGTCAAGCCAATGATCCCATATCCGAACTGAGGAAGTGCAGTCCTTCCTCTGTGTCTCCAACTGCGCTTACTCTCCTCCCTCTTAGCTTTTGCCTTTGGATTATGAACAGTTGATAAATTTGATGTCCCTCTTTTAGAAGGGCTATCTCGTAAGAGTCATCAGTGGCCAATCAGAAAATAAACAGATGTGGGAGGTGAGGCTTTTTAGAAAGCTTGATCATGCAGAGAAACTTCCCATTTATACTTGTAAAAAGTTTGCCACACGCATAAGATGTCCTCCAGCAGCCATCTTCCTTTGCTGCTTTTAAAAGGCAGAATTTACAATGCTGAGCTGTCCTCAAATTGGGTTCAGTAAAAGGTTGTTTCCCTACCACTTAACTTCACTTCCATGTGCTCTTTCATCAATGGCTATGGCTATCTCCAGGGTACTAACCTACAGAAATATTTCCACCTCATCTCCTCAACCAGGCCCTGACAATAGAGCAAAATGTTAAGATTTTCTACTCTGTAGCTTCTTTGTTAATGAACTTCAATTCTAGTCCACATGTATTGAGTGCTATAGCATCAGAGCTTCAGGTTTCCACTATACAAAGTAGGCACTAAATTTCAACATAAATACAGTTGCCTCTTTGCAATCCTAAATTGCCCCCAGAATCCACTGAAAACCTTCTACCATTTTTTGATAAGGTTCCTCAATATTGGGGTGGGGGAAGCTAATTCCCCCAAAGTCAACAATACAGCATGTATTTTCTTATAATTTATCAATCATAGATCTGCAAAAAAAATGTAAAAATTGGCACACTGAAGATTGGCCCCTGTAATACAACCTTCACCCACTCATATACATCATTTTTGAAAGGAAATTTTAAACCAGTGATTCCCACCTAAGGAACATTTAACAATGGCTGCATATATTTTTTACTATCACTACTGAAGGAAAGGATGCTACTGTCACCCAGAAGCCTGGAATACTGCTAAACACCCTATAATGCACAGACAATTCCCCACGACAGATTATCAAGCCCAAAATGTCAATAATGCTCAGGCTGTAAAACCCTGGTTTAAACGCAAGCTCTACATCAAATGTTGGTTATTTACCATGTCTCACACCAAATGAGAATTTAGACCCCAGGACCTAGAAAACTATAATAGTCTCCCTTGGCCATTTCTTCCTACAGCCCAAAAATGTGAGATCATAGGCATCTTAAGACACTGTGTACAAGTTACTGATCCAGAACATTTGGGCAGTTTGGTTAAGTCCTACACTTACAGAGTTTAGAAAAGAAAAACGAAGTAAAGCCATTAAAGGTAAGAAAGTCCACAAAAATTAATAATTTTGAAATTGCCATAGGAGTTGTCAAAGTTTAGTACTGTTCCTACACTAACAAACTTTAGAGCATTTTTCCACTCAAGCTGGGAGCCAACTGTCCCTAGAGACCATCTCCACACCAGTTACCAGAGCAGCATAAACTTTAATGTGGCTCTGAGGAGACACATTCACCAGGCTGGGAATTATTTCCTTATTTCTTAATAAAAAATAGAAGGAAAATAATTCTACATAATCCCTAGTCACGGGGGGGTAGCGATTGGGGAGGACTAGCCTTTATAACCCTCCCAATTTTGCTGGAGGATTGGAATGATGGGCATTTTAAATTCCAGCTACCATATCCCACAGTAACAATTAAGAAGGCCTGTTGAAGCAGTACAGCACGTTTTTTCTTCGTTTTAAAGTCCAGCACTTTTATGTGCTGTTTTAGACTCTAAAATACTCTGGGTCAAGGAAAATATCAAATTGCTATCAAAATTCCCATTCAGCATCTAAACTTCTAGAAAGAAATCTACCTTTGGAATGTTCTAGTAAGAATCGTAGAAGTTCCCACTTTCAGTTTTGGTAAAAAGAACAAAAGTTACTTCTTTCAACTTTCAAGTAAAAATACTCCAATGAAGACTTTACTACCCTCATCACAAAATTGCACTTCAGTAATACAGCAGTGATACCCTCGTTGCAACAATTTGGTTCTTACTGGGTAAGTCTCTCCAAAAAGGGCTAATATAGACGTAGCACTTTAAGATGCCTTCCAGGTTAAACCTAAGAGTGCTTTATATTTTTTAAACCCCTCCCCCCCCCCCCCCCGTGAGAATAACTTTTGTTAACGATTCTGCACATGAAGTTGTGGTTCACGCCAACTTATACTAATCCAAATGTAAGGGGACAAGAGTAGAGACTTGTCTCTAAATATTTAGTTGGCTATGGCAGATTAATTTTACTGCACCAGTTACCTGCCAGGCCTCAAGATTTAAACGGCAAGGAGGTAATTTACATAAACACCCAAGTTTAAAAATGAAAAAGGAGTTCAACTACTACTTGAGCACCTACTAAAAACCACAGAACTCCCGCAGCGACGCCTTCAGCGTTTATAAAGCTGTAAGATACAGGCTTCAGATTCCTGACTTGATGAAATGTTCTCAGTATTTAGGAAAAAAAAAAAAAAAAAATTTTACCAAAGACGGGAGGGGGGCCACAGTTTGGAGGCAAATAAGCCAAACTGTCGTTTGTTGCATGTGAAGTAGATTTCACGTCCCCCGTCCAGTCTTCGTGAAGCCAAAATCAGTTTAAAAACAAAAAACAAAAAAAACTTTTTACGTAAAAACATTCTCGGGTCTCCAGAAGCTCGGCGCGCCGGCTCGGCACCGGACACCGGGCCGCTCGGAACGGCACCGCGTCTGGTCTCGGCCTCGGGAAGAACAAAGGGCGCCCGGGGCCCGGCAGGTGCGTCCCTCGTGGGCACAGAAGCAGCCCCCTAAGACCCCTCGAGACGAGGAGAGAAATGAGGGGCCCCGAAAGGTCAGCGGGCCTCCCGCCCGGAGCCTGAAAAAGGCCTCACCTTTGTTCGGTCCTCGTCCTGCTGCTGCAGCACCTCGGGAACCGCGGCCATGGCGACGCGGGTCTCGAGCGCGGGCTGCCGGGCTGCGCGAGGAAAGAAGAGGCTGGGCCGCCGCCGCCGCTGCCGCCGAGGCGCCTAGAGGGGCGGCCGCGGCCCCGCCTCCGCTAGCCTCCCTGCCCCACGGCGGCAGGAGGCTTCGAGACTCCGCCACCATCCCAGAAGCCCCAGGAAAGGCGAGCGGCACGCCACGTGCTCCCCCACAGCGGCCTCCCCCGTCCATCTTGGAGCCGGGCAAAGAAGCTACGAGGGGCCCTACCCTCGCTCCGGGCCACGCGGGAGCCGCAGACCAAAGGGCAGCGAGAGGGACGCGTAGCCAGACACACTCCCCGATAGGCGCGTCTCAAGGAAGAGCGAGCTGTCGTGCGGCGAAATTTATTACTTAGCCAGGGTCCAAGATGGCCACGAACTGTGACGTAAGCGAGATCTTGCGAGCGCGAAAGGGCGCGATTTGGAGGCGCCCGCGCATCTGCCCGCGCCTGCGCATCTGCTGACGAGTAGGGGGTGGAGTCGGGGCGGGACTCTCGGAGAATCGCGTGTTTATGGAGGTGAACCAAGGGCTAGGGGCGGGGCGTGCGCGCCGCAGTGCATGCTGGGATCGCCTTGGCCGGGCGGAAGCCTAATTCGAGACCCAAGCGCGGGAACGATAAGGACACGCGTCCGAAGAAGAGGTTGTTAGCTACGTGGGAGTTAAGCGAAGGGTGGTGGCCGTTGAGGTACCTACGCCTGCCCTGGGCTAGGCTTCTGCTGAAGCCGCCTCCTCCCTAGTCCTGACTCCCACCGTAAGGGCCACTGCACTCTGACCGCCAACATGGTTCTGTTGTAGGCGGCTGTTAATGGCTCCAGGAGTCCGACCCCTGGGGTCAGACCGACCCTCCAGCAGCAACCTGGGTACTTGGATTTTGGCTAGAAAGAATTCGGAGCCAAGACCCAAACTGTAAAGAGAATATTTATTTGGTAAATCACAGAGGTCGGAAAAGTAGCTGGTAGAAGAGGTGGTCTGAGGGAATCTGTAACGGAGGAAAAGGAAGGGCCTTTGTCCCTAGCCGGTTTTGCTCAGCGGATTGAGCATTGGCCTGCGGTCGTCCCGGTTGGATTCCGGTTAAGGGCCGAACTCCATTGCAGGCTCCTCCCCAACCCAGCCCTGATCGGGGCTTAGGCCGGAGTCGGCCAGCCTCACGTGTCTTCTCTCTTCCACTCTCCCTAAAAATCAATGGGGAAATATCTTCGGGGAAGGATTAACGAAACAAAAGAAAAAAAAAAAGGAAGGGCCCTTGGAGCTTGGAAGTTCCGGAACTAATGGCTAGGTGCCTGGGGGGAGGGGAAGCACATTGGGTCCTCCAGCTAACGGTTTTAAGGTGGAGATTTTAGGGGAAGACCTCAATAGGATATTAATTAGTTTTCTAGGTGTGTCCTTTCAGAGTTGTGGTCTTCACTGATTGATTGGCCAGTCCCAGGGTAGGGGTCATTATGCAGTGCTGCTGGCCCTGAGTAGTGGGGTCTGGGAGGGAGGAGGTCGCTGGTCTGGTTTTGCTGCTTTTCTGGACCTGGAGCTGAAATACAATTGAGGCATAGATGTTCTCCTAGGGAGGAAATGTCAGAGAGATCAAAACCGCTCGACCAGCCTTTTGCTAGGGGAAGGAAAGTCACCCTGAGGGCGAGTGATTAGCCCTTACTATAGATATCTGGGGTTTTCCACCCTGGTGGCTTTCTGTAGCTGCCTATGGTCCTTGCTCTGTTCATGTCTGTCTTAACTGCCTACTACCGGGGGCTGATTTAGGGGATCACAGAGGTGCTCCCTGCTGACTGCCGTTCTTTCCAGCTGGGACCTGACCTGACCTTCAGAAGCTTGATTTCCACTTCTGTAAAAAACGGTGGAAGTAGTACCCACCTTACAGGGTGTGAGGGTTGAATGAGAAATCTCCACACAGAATACTTAGCAAAGAATCTGATATTAAGGATCCGTGGTAAAATGTTAACTGTGACTCCTGGCTATTACAGGATGGATTCTAGAGTTGTTGTTTTTTCCTCTGGTCTCACACTCCTCCCTCTGTTCCTACGCATCACATTTCTTCAGATAGAATATTGGGGAAGTCTTGCCCAAGCTGCTGTTTCGAATTTAGTAGGTGCTGGTCCTTCAGGTATTGATAGGGGCCTTTCTTTGGAAATAGCTGTGTCTGAGCATGTTGCAAAAGCTTTTTGAATAGGCTTTTAAATGTGCAGTATTATACTGATGCCGCTTTCACATTGATAGTTAAAATAATTTGGCACCTAACACCACTTTTCTTTTTAATAGGAATGCAAAAATTAAAAAGACCCTCCGCATTGCAAGGAGACTAGAGGGAAGTGAAAAGTCTAAAGATGAAGGCATTTCAGACCATCTGCAGGCAGCTTAAAAGTTCAAAGGGATTTTCTATAGAACTATCCCCACATTTGGGTTTCTCCACTTCCTCTTATTTATGTGGCCGGAAGAAAAAAGTGAACCCTTATGAAGAGGTGAACCAAGAAAAGTACTCTGAGTTAGTACAGTCTGTCTTGTCATTCAGAGGCCCTGCTCAGACTCCAGAATCATTATTCGAGGAAGATTCTTTACTCTATGGACCTGTGAGTAAGTGTAAGCCCCCAAAGCAAGATGAGGAAGCAAGAGTTCCAGGAAACTGGTTTCCTCTCTTCAATCCACAGAGAAGCTTAAAGCCAAATACTACAGGTGGTGCGACAATTCCTTTGAAAATCCCTTTGCAAAGGAATAAGATACCAAGTGTGACCCGGGTCCTCCAGCAGACCATGACATCAGAACAGATTTTCTATTTGGAGAGGTGGAAACAGCGGATGATTCTGGAACTGGGAGAGGATGGCTTTGCGGAGTATACTTCAGGTAATTTTCTTAATCCTGGTTCTATATTGTTACTATGTTTTCTAGAACATACAGCACTTGTGTCATTCTTTTAAATTTGTTAATCTTAACTAGTGAGGAATTACTTTCAGATAATAATTAGCTTTAAATAGCACTGTGTGTCTAACTCACTTAATCCTCATGACAACTCTATAAAGCATAGATACTATTGTCCCCATTTCACAAATGAAACAAGCGTAGAGATCAAGAATTTTAACAAAATGATGTATAATTTATTTTATAAGCTACAAACTTAAGTGTTAGAATTGCCTGTTTTCTTTTGATTATGGAAGAAAACCACCTGATAATGGAATTCTAGTTGTTTGCTAGGCATTCTGTTCAGAATCTAGTAAATAATCCTTGTTCTACTTATCAAGGTAGACTGACAAGCCACACTAATGAAATTATAAAACAGTAAGCCAGAACACATCATCTGTATTTAAATCTTGGTAAATTGAGATAATCAGATGCTTTGATTAGGAACTGAGAATAAATAAACTTTAGCCTTCAACTCCTAATTTACTAGACAAGTGAAAAGAATAACTTTCTTTAAACAAGATTCAATTCAAAAGCAAGATAAAAAGGAAAGACCATTGCACAGGTGAATTAACTGATCTCATCAGGACTAGGTAGTTGTCTTTTCTTAAAGCTAAGTTTTACATTGATCATTCCTTAGACCAGCAGTCACCAACCTTTTGGACCTCACTGACCACCAGTGGTCCGCGGACCACCAGTTGCTGACAGCTGCCTTAGACTATACTTCTGAGAAAGCAGTATATCTACCCCAAGTGATGGTACCCAAGCACTTTTTTAAGAGTAATGCAATTATTTTGAAGCATCTTAGAAAAAAAACATGCATGTGTGCACACATGTTAAACAAGTAATTACATGTGTTTTAAAGAAAATTAAATCTTGTAACAGAATTTTTTAGAGTACTTGTTTTTTAGTACTAGTTTGGTCTCTTTGTTTTTCCTTTTCTCTTGATTTTTTTTTTTTTTTAAGACTTATTTTTACAAGGGAAACAGTTCCATGAAGCCTTGGAAAGCATACTTTCACCCCAGGGGAACTTAAAAGAGGGAGATGAGAACCGTGAGTCTGGCTACATCGAAAGCATCCAGCATATTCTGAAAGATGTCAGTGGAGTTCAAGCTCTTGAAAGTGCTGTTCAACATGAGACTTTAAAGTATGTAGGTCTGCTGGACTGTGTGGCTGAGTATCAGTAAGTATTAGATTGTTTTTATGAAAGTATGTAGGTGAATTAATGCAGGGTGGGACAGATGGTGCCTACTTTTTCCTCTTAGCTCCTACTTCAAGGAACAGCCTCTGTTAAGTCAAAACCTGTGTGCTAGGTAAAAAGAATTGGGTAAGGATGGATACAGAGGGAAGAGCTACATAATCCTGGTAAATTTGTTTTCCAAAATCAAAATGTTTGATGGAGAAAAGATAACTTTTTCCTTTTTATTTTATTTTTTTTAAGATAACTTCTTAATATCCCTAGGATGGCCTGTTTTCTAGCATCTTCTTCTCCCCTCCTCCCAAGCCAGGTATCAGCCATGAGATCAAATTTGATTCCTGGATTTTCTTTCATGTTCCCCTAAAAATAGCATCTTGATCTGCTAGCCATGCCAACTGGGCAAAAAAAAAAAAAAAAAAAAAAAAAACTAAAAAAAAACACAGTAACAGGATTTTTTTAAAAAAATATATTTTTATTGATTTCAGAGAGGAAGGGAGTGGGAAAGAGAGTCGCTCTATCCACTGAGCCAAATCGACTAGGACAGGACTTTTTTTTTTTTTTAATTGATTTCAGAGAGGAAGGGAGAGAGAGAGAAACATCTATGATGATGAGAATCATTGATTGGCTGCCTCCTACAGGCCCCCTACCTGGGGCCAGGGGTGGTGGGTGTGTATCGAGCCAGGAATCCAGTCATGTGCCCTTGGTCAGAATTGAACCTGGTACCCTTTAGTTTGCAGGCCGATGCTCTATCCACTGAGCCAAACCGGCTAGGGCCAGGATTTTTTTTGTTTTTGTTTTTTTAAGTGTTAATGGATTTGAACCCCAGCCTTGGTTTTTGAGCAAGAGAATTTCTAAAGCTCCAGGTTGTTTAGTCTTTTATGATGAGGACTTTGCTATTGACCTGTGGTGGTTCATTGTGATAGACATTTGAAGTAAAATCAACTAAGGTAATAATAGATGTAGCTTCAATTCCCCTGTCACTTGTTAAAGGAAAGAAGGCCTTGGAGGTCCCAAGGTATTTGGAGAGTCTATAGTAACTTTGGAAAAGTTGTTTCCCAGCTCTCCCACGTGGGCCTACACCTGTAGATGTCACCAGTGCAATTTAGGAAACATTTTCATCAAACTCCTGACAGGCTCATTTACTGAATAAAGGGCTCAAAGCAAAAAGATGTCAGATCTTTCTAATCCTAAGAGGTAAAGCTCAGCTTTTTGGCAAGTGAAGAATAGAAGCAACAATCATTGGCTGACAAGTAGTAAATTATACATAAGAGGGTTAACTTAGTAGAGTTTTTTAGTTTTAACTATTACCTACAAAGACTTTTCTTTGGTTTCTCTTTAGAGGCAACCTGTGTGTGATTGATTGGAAAACATCGGAAAAACCAAAACCTCTTATCCGAAATACATTTGACAATCCGCTGCAAGTTGTGGCGTACATGGGCGCCATAAACCATGATGCCAACTATAGCTTTCAGGTCAGGACACTGAACCTCTGCTTAAAGCAACACTTGTTTAAAGCTATTTAACTCACTGTGGTTCTTATACTCTTTGTAGCCTGCTGTTTGCTTTGTTCCTTGTCTATCTGCCACTTTAAAAAGCACCTTTCCCCTTCTGCGCTTTTTGCTGCTGCTGTTAATAGTTCTTTAATGATGGCAGTCCATTCTTCAATGTGTTATCTGTCATCTTTGTGTTCTTGTGTATCCTGGTGTGGTCTTTCATCAGCCCATCTTAGAAACTGAGTTAGCAGATCTTACTGTGGATTGTTTTGTTCTAAATTTGCCCTGGAGTAAGAAGGAAATTAGCCTAAGCTCTCTCACCCTACTGTGTTTCTTCTAGGTTCGGTGTGGTTTAATTGTCGTGGCCTACAAGGATGGATCCCCTGCCCACCCACATTTCATGGACACAGAGCTGTGTTCCCAGTACTGGGCAAAGTGGCTTCTTCGACTAGAAGAATATACAAAAAAGGAAAAGAACCAGAATATTCAGAAACCAGATTAGGGGCAAGGATGCTCTTTGGAAATATTCAGCACTTTCTCACACTTTTGGGAAAATATAGTGCTGTTTACTGTGACCTAAGATGGAGGTCCCACAGGCTCTGAGAGCTGCATTAACACAAAGCAGAAGTATTAATTTGTTAAAATTTATTGCAATAAAAAAGAAAAAGACTGAAAAGCCAGAAAAGTTTAGGGGGGGAAAAAAACTGGACTTCAGCATACAAAAGATCAGCCATGCTACCTCTGACTATGATTTACTTGAAAAAAAAAGGTCAACCAGGATTGGCACAGTGGTGGTGGCTCTTGGACCCCATGGGACCTCTCTGTGTGCTGGGCAGGCTGCCCAATCTTTAAGAAATTGGAGGGCAATGGGGCTTGGTGTGCCAAGCATTGCCCCAGGGTTACGCCAGAAGGGAAGGGCCCGTGGTAGTCCCAGGGTATGTGGAGAAGGAGCTCACGTCAGCCAACTACTACTGCCAGCACAGTTTCCTAGAACTTGCTTTATATATTGTGGTTCTCTATTTCTTTGGGAAAGAAAATTTCCATTTAACATATTTGAAAAAGAAATATGTGACTCCTTAGCCTCGAATAAATACTGCGCTGGGGAAAGACGGAGCATATTCACCACATCATTGGCATACCACCAAATAACCCTGAGAGGTAATTGTAGGTATTATAGTTATATTCTGCTTTGAGTAATTGAATCATGTCCATAGAGAAAATGTGTCACTTGTGGAGTTTTTCAGCTGTGGGAAACAGTATATTTTTTGGGGGGTGTTTGATAAGTAATAAAAACTATTAGTTGTCACTGGGTTTGGGAAAAAAGTAAATCCCCACTATTGCCTTGGGGGATGGGTCCCTGTTTTATGAAGTGGGTTAGCATTTAGGTTACAGTTACTATTTTAAAAAATCGTAGGATGCTACAATTAATTTGTTTCTTTCATTAGCCATAATTATAAATAAAATACAAGATGTGAGTAAAATAATGAAGTTTTTGGTTTTGTTTTGTTTTAGTTTCTCTGTTTATAGGTTAATTTCACAAACCTGGAAAATGTTTAGACTTCGTTTTTATATTCAGAATTATACCACTGGCCCAATAGCTTTGGTCTATGTTTTATGTAAATGAATATAAGGAGGTGTCCCGAGTCAGTCACCTGTCAAGGAAAGTAAGGTTTATTTGGGAGAGAGGAGGCTTGTGGGTGACCACTTATTGACTATACACATCTGCATTTTTTAAAATAGAATATATTCCTGTAACCTGTAATATCCAAGGTCAGGCATCAAGTGAGAAAATTAAAAATTGTACCAGCAGATTTTTTCACATGCTGCTCTAATAAGTTTCACCCTGGGATTTAGGGAACCAGATCCAAGGAGCCTTCATTTTATACAGTTTTGTTGGGTTAACATAAATTCACTTTGGCTCAGGCTAGTGGTGATGTGAAAAGTTCCATAAAGATCCTTGGAGTCTGACCAAGAAGACATGGTTGATAGAATGTGAAGATAAATCCCTGGGTAGGTTTCCCTGAACCACATAAGGGCACCCCAATTTCTCACTACAATCCTGGTAATTTTCGGATCTCACCAATTAAAGAACTCTCAATCCTTTGAGAAGGAAATGTTGATAAGGGAAAAAAGTTATTTTCGCCACCAAGGCATAAAAGGAGAAAGCCAAATCTGAGTTTCTAAATCAACTTTTTAAAGAATTAACATGTATATTACTAGTTTTTGGTTGCTACCTATTCTAAGAAATTGTGAAATGAAACAGGATTTGAAATGAGAGAGTCTCCAATTTGAGGTAATTAAAGTATTTTTTAAAGTATTCTTTTCTGAAGGGGCTTACCTCATAGAAGTATAAAAGGTAATCTTCTAGACAGCTTTGAGATAGTCCATTAGATTTAAAGCTGCATTTCATTCTGCAATTCTACATTTGCTTAATGCATTTAATAAGACTGCATTTAATGAAGCTGGCAAAGCTCCAAGCTAGTACTAAGTCAATATTTTGCAGCCCAGCCAGTGTTGTTCAGTGGTTAAGCATTGACCTATGAACCAAGAGATCACTTTTCAATTCCTAGTCAGGGCACATGCCCAGGTTATAGGCTCAATCTCCTGTATGGGGCGTGGAGGAGGCAATCAGCCCAGGATTCTCTCTTACTGATATTTCTCTGAAATCAATAAAAATACTTTTTCCCCCCTCAGACCTGGCCTCTTGTTCAGAGCCATTAATACCTGTTAATCTGAGAACATTAACTTCTTTCTATAAACCCATTATAGTTCTAGGAAAATGAGTGAACATATGACCTATGGTTTTATATTTGTTGACCCTGGTAAACACAGGAAGAGGATTTAATCATAAGTCAATGTGTTACCAGGTAACCAATTTGCCTACCAGCTTTACTAGTAAAAGGAGTTGGAGAGGGCTAAGCAATTAAACATTTTATTATAACCTGCCCTATCTTCTGTCTCCCAGACACACAAAAAAGTGAAGCAAGGAAATAATTGGAACTATTTTTTTTAAATAAATACTAAAGTGTTTGGAATTTGTACCCTAAAGAGAAACACTGTCTTAAACCAATAATTACTAAGTACATGGCAGAACTGATTCTCCTTGCCTCCCTCCCTTCCTTGCAGCCTCTGAGGCCTTCAGATTAAGCAGAGATGGGCTGATGCTGGGAGTGGAACCTGCGAACCTTTAAAGTTATCCTATAGAAGGGAGCTTGAGAGAATCTCTGGGGAGAGCTTCCTGATTGAGTATTGCCTTGACAATAACAGTGGTCAGGTTTGAGGAATACATGTGTGAATCCAATCATAAAATGATGTTCTGGGTTAGGGGTTCCTTTATGATCAAGATTGGGGGAGCCAAAACGGTTTGGCTCAGTGGATAGAGCGTTGGCCTGTGGATGAGGGGTCCCAGGTTCGATTCTAGTCAGAAGCATGTATCTTGGTTACAGGCACATCCCTGGGGGGTCGCGGGGAGGGCAGTGTGCAGGAGGCAGCTGATCGATGTTTCTAACTATCCCTCTCCCTCTATAAAAAAAAATAATAATAAAATATATTTAAAAAAAAAAAAAAAAGATTAGGAGGAGAGGGGTTGGCCCTAGCCAGTTTGGCCCAGTGGATAGAGCATCAGCCTGTGGACTGAAGGGTCCTGGGTTCAATTCTAGTCAAGGGCACATGCCAGTGTTGCTGGCTCGATCCCCAGAGGGAGGCTTGCAGGAGGCAGCCGATTAATGATTCTCATCATTGATGTTTCTATCTCCTCCCTTCCGTCTGAAATCAATTTTAAAAAGCTAAAAAAGAGTGAAGGAGAGGAGTTTTTAATAGATCATCGCAGATAAGTCCTTGCCTTTGTTTCCCTAATCCCATTTCTCTCCCCTGAGATAAACATCATCATACATTTGGAGGGTATCTTTCCAGTATATCCTTTTACAGTTTTACAACCCGTGCTGGTCTCCATGAAAAATACATGGTTGTACTTTCGGTGTTTTTTATTTCACTTGCTTTATCTCCACTTGTTTTTGAGATCTCGTGAGGTGACCACTTCCAAACCTATATTTCCTCAGGCTTCATTGTCTCTCTCGCCAATGGGCTGACAGCTGACTAACAACGTTTTGCTACTATAGTCAGTGGTGCAGTGAACAACACCCTCCTGTGCGTGTTTCCTGGCACTCAGGAGGCAGGTGCAATGTGGTGGAAGCAAGATGTCGATTGTGGCTCTTGCCAGTTAATAGCTCTGTGACCTTATGGCAAGTTATCGGACCGTTCTGTGCCTGATTTCCTCATTTGTAAATTGGGGAGAAATATAGTACTTACTATTATAATAGAGCAGTACAGTGATGTAAGCACTTAGGGCTGCACCTGGCACATCATGGGAACAAAATAAATGTTAACCACCATCATCAAATGAGCACACCTGCACGCATCTTTGCTGGCCCCAGTTTGTGCACAGCTTAAACGTTACTGCCCAGTTCCCCTCCCAAATCATCTTTATGTTCCCACCAGTGATGTATGAAATTTTCCTGCTTTCCCACACATTCATTAACAAGAATTTGAAGACTTTTGTTTATCAACCTGATGGAGTGAAAACAGTTCATTTTTACTTTTTGTTATGAACAGCATTATCGCTTGAATGAAAACGGGATTGCCACCTAGTGGTGGAAGAAATAGACTGCACTTAGCAGGCAGAAGCCAAACAGGGATGGGCCTAGAGAGGAACTGGGGCATCTTAGTTCCTAACACAGGCCTGGTTTGATTGAAAGTAACTGCGTGAGAGATTTTCTCTCCATTTTTAGGAAGCTTGATGATTTCCTTCTCACTTTTTCTAGTATGGCGATATGGAGACCCGTCTGCACAGCCCTGTAAGGCTTCCTACAGCTAAATGAATCTGGGTCACTGGCTCCGAAAAGAGAAGTGAGATAAATTAGGAACAAGGCTATTTACAAACTGACAGGAGACTGTGGCTCTAAGCAGGGCAGGATTTTCATGGAGAGATGGCCTAATGCACGCATTGGGGCTGCTCCCTCAAACAGCCACTGAAGGCTGAGCTGAGAGTCTCAGTTAACTTCTTTCCTAATCAGGGGCTGGTCCTGTCTGCTGCAAAGACTCCTAAAGTCATAATCTAAAAAGATTTTACGGTGCATGAAAATGTTAGATATTAATCATCAAAGAGATAAATACATTTTAAAAGATCTATACAAAAATGTTCCATGAAAGCAAGGGTGTAAAAAAAAAAAGTTGCTGAGCCAGGCCGGCATGGCTCAGTGGTTGAGCATCGACCTATGAACCAGGAGGTCATGGTTCGATTCCCAGTCAGGGTACATGCCCGTGTTGTGGACTCAATACCCAGTGTGGGATGTGCAGGAGGCAGCCAATCAATGATTCTCTCTCATCATTGATGTTTCTCTCTCTCTCCCTCTCCCTTCCTCTCTGAAATCAATAACAAATATTTTTAAGTATATTTGTTATTATTGATTTGGCTCGGTGGATAGAGCATCAGCCTGCAGACTGAAGGGTCCCAGGTTCGATTCTGGGCAAGGGCACATGCCCAGGTTGCCCAGGTTTTGGGCTCGATCCCCAGTGGGGAGCGTGCAGGAGGCAGCCAATCAATAATTCTCTCTCGTTATTTTTTTTTTTTTTTATTGATTTTGTACAGAGAGTAAGGAAGAGAGATAGTCAGAAACATCGATGAGAGAGAGTCATCGATCAGCTGCCTCTTGCACATCCCCCACTGGGGACATGCCCGCAACCAAGGTACATGCCCTTGACCGGAATCGAACCCGGGACCCTTCAGTCCCCAAGCCGATGCTTTATCCATTGAGCCAAACCAGTTTCTGCAATTCTCTCTCATTATTGATATTTCAACCTCTCTCCCTCTTCCTCTCTGAAATCAATAAAAATATATTTAAAATTTTTAAGTTGCCGAACTGTTATATAACATGTGTTTAAATAAGTATAATCTCTAAATTAATGGGATAATACAAGTTAAGAAAAGGAAACAGAGTCCAAACAACAAGCAAAGGTCCGCTGTGATTAGAAATATCCATTCAGACAGATCTCAACTGTCCCACAGCACCAGCCTCATGCCTATTTCTAAGCACTTGTTTGTGAGGATACTTTTGCCAAAAATAATTTCCTTTCATCCCTTTGTTCAGCCAAATCTTAATTTTCTTAGTGTTTGGACCTGAACTCCAGTCCTTCCTGAGGTCCAGCGCAAGTCTTCC